CATAGTTTTCTTCTCGTTGTATTGTCCTTCGCGTCGGGAGTAAGCCGGAGAATTCAAGCTCAATTTCTCACGTGCCTTTTTACTCGTTTACATGTATATATCCTTGTTTACATTTCTTGGATTTCTCCGGTCTTTTCATCAGCGTTTATCGGGTTCATAGCAACGTGAGGGGGCTTTGTCGAGATATAGAACGCATTTTTGACAGCATGCTCTAATAGTTTAAGTTTTTAAATAGATGCACACTTGACTTTTATAGATAGGATGAAACATCGCAATTGTGATCGATCTTGCTTGGCAATTGGTACTTAGACATTCGGGTCTTGAACATGGAGTAATTAAAGATCAATTGGGCATTAGATGATCAATCGTGATTGATCTGGACATAACTTTTAGTAATTGAAAAATTTTCATTAGAATAATCTCGTAAAAACAAGACTCGAGACGAACTTCTTCGATGGTGGGCATTTGAAATTATAAACTATGATTAGTATCATAATAGAAATAGACCGGAAAAGCACCTCTGCTTCTTGATCAACAGGTTTAATTCCTTTCTGTGTGTAATCAACAGTTTTAATTCCTTAGATAAGAGAAGTTTCACTTTGATAAAAAGTGTGTTGGTAATTTTTTAAATATGGTATTGACATTGTCGTTTTAACAAAATTGAGGAGTGCCAGAATACCTAATTTAGTTCAAATTTACCACAAAAGCGAGAAAATCATTTTTAATTTGTATGACTCTAGCGCTACAACTTAAACATTGATTCTTCTTTGTCCAATCGTGGAACGTGTTTAATTTTTGATTCTGGCACAATTTTGTCAAAAAATCGTTGAGGAATCAAAAAAAAAAGTATGATTGGAACAATTTGAGAATCAATTTTTTTCTTCTTCCTTTCTTGGTTTTTAATTTAGTTTCGACGAGAATAAAATATTTTAATAAAAATATTATTAAAAATAGCTGCAATAGCCATAAAAGAAAATATATATTTTTAAAAAAAAATAATAAAAAAATATCTCGCCATGGGGTGTCGGCAAAAAAAAAATATATATTTTTAATAAAAATTTTAATAAAAATATTATTAATAAAACAACCAGCTAAAAAAATAAAAATGTATATTTTTAATAAAAATATTTTTAAAAAAATTATTAATAAAAAAATATTTTTCAATCGCCATGGCCAAAAAAAAAAAATTATATTTTTAATAAAAATATTTTAATAAAAAAATATTTTAAAGCCATGCCATGGTTGTCATAAAAATAAAATATATATTTTTAATAAAAATATTATTATTAAAAAAAATTTTGGTAGTGAAAATGGCAAAAAAAAAAAAAAAATCAAATGTTAATATTCATATACGTTTGAGAAGCTCGAACTAAACATTTTCAAAGTAAATTTTTTGTGTTGTCAGTGAAAATCCAAAAAATCAGGTCCTATGATGCCAACGTTTAGGAATGAATTAGATACTTCCCCCGGGCTTTGCAAGAGCACATTGCAATTACTTCTATAAACACCTAAATAGAACAATTGGATTTCTATTGATGGTTTTTGGCTTTGGTATAGGTTATGTCAAATTAAGGTAATATTCAAGAATAACTAAGTGGTTAATTGGGAAAATGACACAAATAGTCTCTGAACTTTGGCCTAATGTGCAATTTGATCCCTTAGCCCAATATTGTCCCTGAACTTTCAATTTGTTCAATATGGTATCTGGACTTTTGATACATGTTCAATCTAGTTCTTGAGCTAAATGAAAATATCTAATGTTATCCCTGAACCCGAATTACTGGAAGGAATATTGAACTTGAACATGTACCAAAAGTCTATGAGCCACATTGAATAAATAAAAAGTTCGGTGACCTGATTTTTACATTTTGGCTAAAGTTCAAGAACTACATTGAACAAATTAAAAGTTTAGGGATCGTATTGCATATTGAGTCACAGTTTAGGGATTATTTGTGATATTATCCCTAAAAATACCACAGCTTTTCGGGTGGACCCCGCACTTGTCTTTCATTTCTTGCATCACTTTACTTGTTGAAATAGAAAATTATGTAAAAAAGAGAAATAATGTAAACATGTGTTGGGTACTATTGAAAAATTTTCAACTGAAAACACGTGAAGTTTTTCAATGGACCTTTGGTTATTTCACAATATTCTTGCGTTAAATTGGGATTTAAATTTTATCTAATTACAAAAACTATAATATAATCCGAGATTGGCAACAATGATTTCCATCTAAGGCTTCGTTTGTTTTGCGTAAAATAAATATTTTTGAAAATATTTTTTTAAATGATCGCTTGTATCTCTTGAAAGTAATAGTCAGTGAATAATGTTTTCGTTATCAATAACAATTTATGTCTAAAGATTTTGGTGGACGATCAATTTTTTTTTTCATTCGTTCATTTTTGTAAGAGATACAAGTGATAATTTTTTAGGAAATAATTTCTAAATCATTACTTTTCTGCGAAATAAACGGAGTCTCGAACAAAAAAACTGCTACATAAAAACTCACACATGTAAAGATATATACGTGCTACGTACATTTATACATATATATAATTAAGAGGAAATAATAATTGTTTGTGCAATCATATATTTTATTGCATCAAAAGTTTAAGAGCAAATTTTCTATTTTTACTAATTTCTACAAATATTTTTCACAACAAGTAGAAAAGAGTTTGAGATATATATAATTAAACAATCACCTAAACTGCTTTGTAATTAAAGATTCAATGATTAAAGATGGATAGTTAATCTAAGAAACTAAACGAAGGAAACTCAATAACAATTGCAATTTCTTTAAAGCAACTATCCATTAATTTAAACTTTCAATTAGCTAATGACCAACAAATTTTGTCAGCCATATCTATACTGCTTTGCTATACATCAATGATATCAGTTATGAAGGTGTAAAACTAAGTGGACTAAGATAATTTCTGAAATAAGATCAAGAACTTTTAGGTACGTTATAACCTCATGAATATTTTTATTGCTATATTAGAGAATATTAATCATGTCAAAAAATCTTGTTACTATTCATCTTATCAACAGTGTAGTTTGTTGAGGCATAAGTATACTCATTTCTTTATTTAAGTATAGAAAAACAACTCTTATTTTTCGATCTTGATAGTTGATGACATTATTCTTTTATTGATGTATTTTTTTTTCTCAAATAAAATATCGCCAACCATTACCGCGGGTAGAAACCATTTATATATAATTGGTTCATTATAAACAATATCTTTTTATGAATTTATATACGGTATATTTCTTCTTGTACACCGCACAAGTACTCGATAGTGCTTTATCAATTGGTGGTGTGGCATGCCAATCTTACAATTGTTTGAATTTCAAGCCTCTTCATCTTGTTTGTGCCATAAAACTCAAATAGACATCAGCTTGGTTCATTCTTGAAATTTTTCTAGGACGAGCACGAAAATAATAAAGATGAGAAACCAACATGACTAGGTAAGTTGCGAGACGGGTATTAGAGATCAAATGACAAATTTCGGGCCCCAACATTTGGAAATCGGTTAAAACATGATAAGTCTCCTTATACGTGGCCGTACCTCTTTATACCTTGTGTAAGGTGCTTGTAAACATTTTTTTGTACATGCTCTTTTAGGGTAAGAGTTTTACACTCATTATAAAAATGTTCGATTAGAGTTATAACTATTTAGTTTGCCCGAAAAACGAAGGTCCAAGCCTGACATCATGGGGCTATCGATGTGCCAGAAGTCAAGACATTTTTCCTTTAAGGTAGCATATGTCAAAGGCACAAATTGATCAGAGGTTCGCTCACACTAAGTCTCGATCTTTTGACTTTGGATAATGTAATGCCTTTACCATACTGGGCTACTATGTTAGGTGGTGCATTATAAATACAAGAATACCACCATTTTTTTGGTAATTCCGTGTCCTTCACAAAAAATTTACACTTAGTGATTCAAGGTTGTTTGTATGTGCAATTTTTTTACTATTGTCATAGAATTGCAATCTATTATACAAGTCACTGGGTTTTTTTTTTTTTTTTTTTATGTTGAGCGTGCTAATGCGCAAGTTTCCTTATTTGATTAAAAGAAAGCACATGAGATCTTAGAGACTTGAAAATTTGGATTTTGATTTCGAGGGTGGTCTAAGAGATTACATGGTAAATTTTAAGTTTAAAACACTATTGATACTCACATGGTAGGTTATGAAAGACAAATAACTTTCTAACTGGCATAGCGGCGAGTGATCTTGTTCAGCAAGTATCATATGCAAAGTCCTTACAAAACTTTCTATATAAGGATTCTAGTCCTTTACCTAATAGATTCTTTGGGGACTTACCCAACTTGATGAGCTTGCTCATCTTGACAAAAACCCAGAAGAGTTCTGCTGTCAGGCTCGACTCATCTCACTTCAATCTAATTGACACCGGCAAGAGCTTTACAATAGTCTCTCGTCAATGCAAGGATGTTTCCACCCAACTTGACTGATTAAACCTGACTTAACTCAATGATATATAGACAACATGTCGTGAACCTGAAGTCAGACTTGACCAATTGGCTGGGAAATCAAAGTCTAGTCTACACAATTCACCGATCATCTCTAACAGACAAGTGATTGAGTAGTATGTGAAAAGAGATGACATTTAATCGATGCACTTTTGATTAGGGGTTTCGATCTTAAATACATATAAAAATATTAAGAAAATTTTGCGAATTTGGTTCATAAAATGACATGGTAGACTCTCTATTAACGCGACACATTTTATTACTCGATTATGATTTATCATGTTATCTTGTAAGTCAATTATGTAAAGTCTAGCCTGGCCATGCCTAGCACTTGGCCTTTGGTCTTTCCAAGCTCTGACCCAAAAAGAAAAAAAAGAAAAAATCTTTCCGAGGAAAAATCTGCACAAATCTTACATTAAACTTTTTTCGTAGATATGAACAAATTTTTTTTCTCTCGAAATCTTCCAAGACAAAAGGCCCCTTCATCTCCTTCCTCACGCAATCACTTGCAGCAGCTCTCTCTCTCGCGCGCACACACTTTCTCTCTCTCTCTCTCTCTCTCTCTCACTCTCTCTATCCCACATTCCTGAGAGAGACAAATCACAAGCGCAGGCATGAATCTGGGCGCCAGCTCATGCCCTCCACTGCTCTAGCTATAATGAGCAAAGCCTTCACTCTCTTCTTCCCAGAAGAGGATGGCCATGGCCCTGCAAGTGCAGGAGGAGGAAACCCACCACCAACGCCGGGACGCTTCGTTTTCGCTCGACGGGCTCTACTGCGAGGACGAGACCTTCGATGAAGATCTGGCAGGCAATGCCGGCGAGAATGCCGGTGAGGGAGCGAGGGGTGATGACCCCTGCGATGTAAAGGACTCGACTTTGCCTCTGCCTTTGCTGGAACAGGACTTGTTTTGGGAGGATGGTGAGCTGGCCTCCCTGGTTTCGAGAGAGACCGAGACCCATCCCCGTTGCGACGAGCTAATCTCTGATGGGTCCGTGGCGGTAGCCCGCAGAGATGCGGTTGGGTGGATTTTGAGGGCTCATGCGCATTACGGGTTTCGTCCATTGACTGCTGTGTTGGCCGTGAACTACTTCGATAGGTTCGTTTTGAGCCAGAGGTACCAGAGAGACAGGCCGTGGATAAGCCAACTCTTAGCTGTGGCTTGTCTCTCTGTTGCTGCCAAGGTGGAGGAAACCCAAGTGCCTCTTCTACTTGACCTGCAAGTATGCACATTGTGTCATTGTGCTTTAAATGTTTGGTAGAATGTCCAGCTGAAAGGTTCTAGGACACTTCCTGTTGCATTTGCGTTGAAAGAGCTCGTTTTGTAGGTGGCTGATGCGAAGTACGTGTTTGAATCGAGGACGATTCAGAGAATGGAGCTCTTGCTGATGTCTACACTTGGTTGGAGGATGAACTCGGTGACTCCGATTTCATTCTTTGATTACATCCTTAGGAGGTTTGGCTTGACGACTAATTTGCACAGGCTATTTTTCTGGATGTGTGAGCGTTTACTTCTCTCTCTGGTTGCAGGTAAGCCGTGAATTAGCTCTGTCTCATTAGTCTGCGAGTTCATAGACAATACGTATCATTTTCTGATGATCCCACTTAGTGTAAGAGTTACCAATTAACCCTGAATTTTGTTTCCAGATGCGAGGCTCGCGAGTTTTCTTCCTTCAGTCGTTGCCACAGCTACAATGCTGTATGTTAACAAGGAGATAGAATCGTGTATATGCTGTGAATTCCTGGACCAGTTACTGAGCGTGCTCAAGATCAATGAGGTCTGGTTTTGCGTGTATAGTTACTGTCATTCCCTGTTTCCACATGCTCTAATATCGTCTCCTGCAATTGGTTCTAGCGGTTTCATTGACGATGGCTTGTTATTTTTGTTTTTTTGTTGTGCTTGCTCTTGGACAGGACCGAGTAAATGAGTGCTATGAACTCATTCTTAAATTATCAATTGACCATCCTGAGATCCTCAACTACAAGCACAAGCGTAAGAAGCTATCAGTACCCAGTAGCCCCAGTGGTGTGATCGATGCTTCTTTCAGCTGTGACAGTTCAAATGATTCGTGGGGTGTGGCATCATCTGTTTCTTCTTCGCCGGCGCCTCGGTTCAAGAGGAGCAGATTCCAGGATCAACAGATGGGCCTGCCATCTGCGAATGTTTCATCCATGGGTGTGCTTAATAGTTTTTTTTAGTCCTTCCTTATTATCCTTGATTGGACATGCTATAAAGCAGTCTTTCCCTTGCTTATATCTTGAGGCATCTAATCTTGTGGTCTATCATCTAATTGTTTGGATTTTGAGTGCCTCACTTTCTTCTATAGATATGCAAATGCATAACGATAAGCCAAAAAAGGGTGGACTTGGAATTTCCTCCTTAATTCAAGGCAGGGTTATTGAGACTCTTTTGAAAGATAGGTGAGAAGTTATGGTAGTTCTTGGTTTAGAATAGCACCTGTTCCCCTAATATATCTTTCTCAAGTAATTTGGTTGTCAATTTTGAAAAATTGGCGTCAATAGTTTTTGTATGAGTAGTCGCTGCAACTGTCTGGACTAGTTACTGTGGGAGAGTAGAGGTAGATATGGATGGTAAGGGAGTCTTTAGAGGTTAACTTTGAACGAATAGATTAATGTCTTGGGTTTATCGAATGGATGACAGTTGCATAGTTCACATTTAAATACATCTCTGTTGGAGAGAGAGAGCGAGAGAGGTGTTGAAGTTCTCATACTCGTGTTAGACCTATGTGTTGTATTTTAGAGATAGATTAGGTAATTGATGCGGAAGAGCTCTTTCATCAAGGTCAAACAAACGAGGCTAAGTCCTTGCTAGGGACAACAGAATTCCCGCTGGCCGACAAGCTCATCCTGTCCTCAGGACATCTCTCCGCATCTCTAGAGCTTAACTTAAATGTGATTAGTTCTTTTAACTTAGTCCTCTTGGACTATGCACATCTCAAATTGCCTGAACTCTTTTTCAGCCTTTCTCGGATGTTGCACTTAGTCGTTGCCTCTTTTTTTTAAAATTTTTTTGTTTATTGTTCTCTTCGCCCTAGCGAAATCTGATAAAGGCGGATTGGATCACTAGTTCAATCCTCTCTTTCACACTTATCAGGAAGAAAAGAGGTGGGATTTAAGTCGTAAAAAAAACCCTTCTTTTCCCTTGAAAGCAAGGTGAGGGAGCATGTCCATGAGGTGCATTGATCGAGATGAATAAATAACGAGGCGTAATATTATAAGCAAGCATCTCATTCCCTAGACAGACGGTAGTTGTGACTTGTTTGAAAATGTAGGTGCTTTAGGTTCCAATTTTCCACACAAAGTCAGCTAAGTTAGAGCAGCTGGGAAGTCCTAAAATTAGCACCCCACCAGTTGTCATGTGGGTCTTTTTTGGACAGGTCCACCAGTTCTTAGTACATATGTATATAATAAATATATTGTGGGACTTGCAGAGAGTCAGTTATTCACAAAGCTCTCTGTTTCTCTCTCAAGGTAGACTTTCGTCTACTGGTTCCAGACATGTGGACAACTTTCTTGACTAAACGAAGATTGTTGGTGTTGGTGATGACTAATTTAATGTGCTCTAAGTTGGTGATGTCTAGTTGCTATTTGAGCAAGCGCTTATGCTTCTATAGCATGTGTCATTGGTGCTTATGAATTGGGTACTCCGCATCTCACCAAGTTCGTAAGGATATTCGTAATTGAATTGGCTTTTGAGTTATCACGCTTCCGAATGTGCCATGTTATTACCTGTTAAATTGATAGGAGCCGGTGCTGATCGAATGTTTGTGGTCTCCAGAAGTCCTGGCCCTGTACCTTCATCGTATCAGAAGCCATTGACCATAGTTCCTCTGTAGGAGGAGATGTGGAAATAAGCAAAGGTTTATGGTGAGGGCACAGCGAGCAATTTTTGAACTGTCATTGCTCGAGGTGAAGGCCGCTCCTTTCTCCCTTTCTCAATCTTTTGAAAGCGGGAGTAGACAAAATCTCGGCAAGAAGTTTGATGGTGATAAATCGTTCCATCGACTTGCCTCCACAGAGGAAAGGCAACTCTTTTCAGGCCTTCATCCAGTGTGAAAAGCAGAAGTATATGATTCGATCCTATTTCATCACCAATGTTCTCATCAAAGAAGCCGCTTGCTGATTCTCTGTGGAATCGCTAATGATCATCATATTTGGCACCTGAGTGTAGCATAAGGTTGAATGTGTTGAATGGTCCTACCCTTTGGGATGGGAATAGATACCTCAAACTTCGGTTCTAGTGAATTTCAAAGGTTAGAGCGATAGTGTCCAAGACGGTAATCTTACCGATGTTTTTCAATTGAACTTCCTCGTCAAGGGCATCAAAATTTCATATTGTCAAACCTTGCATTACTCTTTCGAGAGTCGTCGATGAAGAGATGGAATGACCAACTAATTTGTACCAGCTGAGTTATTCCCAGTACAGAGTTTTTACCTCGCACGGCCGTTTTGAACCCAACGTGATTAGATCGATTGAGTTTTCTAAGGCACTTTAGAGTGCTGTGTCATGAGGCCTAATAAGTGGCTCAATTCGTACATATACGGTATCCTTGTTCTCTCAATATTGCGAATGAACATCGCATTTGTGAACACATAAGGAGTGTTTTCTCATTGGTGGTACTTTGGTGCTAATGTACGATTGAGACATTACTAATTTGGGCTTTCGTCAAACATGTTCTTTGGGCAAACATGCGCCTTTAGTAATAAATCCAGAAAAGAGATTGATATTGGATGAAAAGCAAGATGACGATCCTCTCAAAAAGCCGATCAAATTTAGATTTTTCCGAAAGTACCATTTTATCCGAAAAAGCACATGAATGGATTAAGATCAATTTTCGATTTTTGAACAAAACTCTTTTACCCGGAAGTACACGAGTGGTTCATATCCATTTTAGTTCATGCATAATGTTTAAAAGGAATGAGTCAATCAACTCTAACTTGAGATGATTATATCTGTTTCTATCTTTGTCCTGGAACCAAGTATGATGATGATGATGACGACAACGACAACGAACCCAAGTATCACTTTGAGATAATTATTGCTGTCATGTGATTGTGTTGTGAGCGTTGCAAGTTACATATTTGGTAATACATGCTTCAAAGTTGTAGAACCTCAAAACTGAGACAATGCCCTGAAAATTGTAATAAATTACTACAGTTTCGAGGGTGCTGCGGTTGTGAGGTGATTGTCAAACACCTCGTGAGAATCACGACGTCCGTTTCCACAGCCGTGACTGTGACGTAAAACAGGCAGATGTGCCAACAAAACTAAACTTATGAAACTAGCGGAGTAGAAGAGATGGTCGAAAGCAGCTGGGGCAGGCTTGTTTCCTATACCATCCTGGAGAAAATGTCAAAACTCAAAACCGTTCTTTCTCATTTGCTGAATCTGAAACAGGGTCGAACCAAAAATGGTATAGCTATGGCCAGTGGGTGAAATTTCCTGGGAAATCTCCGGCATTCCCTCAATCAGAGGGAAATGCTAAAATATGAAAACCAAGAAAGGCAAAAGCCTGATGTGGTCAATGGGCCAAATACATTGGAAGGGGACAACGAGTACAGGTGTCTTTGAATCTATTGGTGCAGCACTTCTTTTTTAACATGTGCGAGTGTCTGAATTGTACATTGGGGAGGTCTCATCATGTTCTGCAGCAGGCAAGCAGCAGTGTTCGGCTCGAACAATGAAGAGCTCTCTTATGGACCCCATTTGCCATTAGGTTTCACCTACTAGTGTCATGTTCTGAAAAATGGTTCAACAATTAATTTCACAGCATGGTACAATGTTCGAAATTTGATTTTTTTGGTTTTGTTTTTCAATTTTCCTTTAGCTTGGTAGGTTTAGGGACGACTATTTGGACTTCTCCCAGTTAAGATGACACGGCCCGATCACCGGAGGTAAAATCTATCATCCGTGAATTTTAGGGTAGAGATGAGATCGCGCTATCCCACATGTGGGGCGTGGCGAGAATGGATTCAGCCACATTTGTCACATAACCCTTTATTTATCCGATCTTTCATCGAAATGAAAATTATAGGATGTTAATCCCTAGCTTTTTCACCAATAACGGCTGACATCTTCAACTTTTGAAATGTACACTTTGCATGTCCAGTCAAAACACTCTTAAGCCAAAAAAAAAAAAATAATGTAGCCCTCGTGCAAACCCAAACCCTAAACCCTTTTCCCCGCTCTCCCCCCTCTGATGAATTGCCCTATCGTTCCAACCACCTCCATGCCACTACTGTCGTCGGCGACCTTTGCCGCACCACTACACATCTATATTTAGCAACGACATCTCCAACAACCCCAACCCCCACCCCCACCCCCCCCCGTATATAAATAACATAAGCGATCATATACTCTTTAAAAGAGAAAAAAGATGTTAATCGTAGTAACATTGTTCATCAAATTTGAGTTTTGGGTTTCCAAGATTGCCTCAAATGCTATGTGTTGAAATAGTTTGTTATCATGAAAAAAAAGTGATTGTTGGACATGAAATGAAAAGAAGTGACTGTTGACACGAAGAGAAGTGATGATTGATCAAGAAAAGTGGTGGTGGTAGGGATAAGGTACCTACTCCCAATAGATGTATTGATTGGTTGTTTGTAAATAAGACTAAATCATACACTTTAATCACAATTGTTCATAATAGCAAAAACTCTCTCTTTTTCACAACATTCTTTTTTTCTTCTCTTTTCACACAAAAACTTGATTACACATTCAAGATGAAATTTCAACAGGGAAATTTTTGAAACAGTTTGTTATCATGAAAATAAATGATTGTTGGACATGAAAAGAGGTGATTGTTGGATATGAAAGAAGTATTTACTGATATGAATAGAAGTGATGGTTCATCATTAAAAGCAGTGATGGTTGATATAATGTACCTATTCTCAAGAGATGTGTTGATTATTGGTTGTCTGTAAATATAACCAAATCATATATTGGTCATCACAACTGTTCATAACAACAACAACTCTCTCTTTTTCACAACATTCCATCTTCTTCTCTTCTCACACACAAGTTTGATAACACATTCAAGGTGAAATTCCAAGAGAGAAATTAAGTAATTGATTAACTTGTTTTTCTATGGTTTTGGTGTCTATCTTGGAGGTATATTTGTTCCAAACCCAAGAGCAACACTAGTGGGGGTAAATAATACCTCAAGGATAGTGTTCGTCATCATGCATTGAAGCATCAAATATCTATAACTACTGCTTTATCTTCATCAGCAATCAAAAAAAAAAAATAAAAAAAAAAAA